ATCGGGTGCTTTTTTCCCAGTGTGCCCATTTCTACAGCATTCGTCTGGTTTTTCAGGACGAAAGTAAGGCGTTTAACATACTTCGTGAGGCAATCGCCTCTTGTTCGAGTATTCCTGCAAGTCGTCATTGTGATTCTCGGTATCGAAGGCATTCCCGACGGATCAGCGTAAGATCTCCTTGGTTTTCATCAAAGACTTTTTTACGCATTTATCTCTTTGAAGGGTTCTTCAAATCCTCAACGGTCTCGGAGTCGCCTCTACTCTGATCGCCGTTTTCATCTGCCATGTGATTGTGACAGCGACTCGGGTTCGTTTGAGGCCTTCACTGCAAATAAACTGGGAATGCTCTTTCGATAGCACCATTTCAGGAAGTGCTGACGCCATACAATATGTACGTTATATTCCGGTGTGTGGACACGACCCAGATGCTCTACACCTTCCAAAAGTTTATTTTGGATCTGATAGCCAAAAACGGTGGCATGGGAGGTCTCCCAGTGGCTTCTCCTTCAATGGTGGCACGTTGTGAGCAAGCCGTTCATCATTTTGGAATCTGTGAGCAGAAAAATTCTCATAATTATTGTTATTTCAGTCTGGCACAATGTGGCAATGACGATCGAGGTCGGACTGGTATGCGTGGTGATGTTCAGAAATATCCGACCGGGCAAAAGCGCGTTCTTTGCCGAACCAAGTGAAACTATACACGTCTGTCATCCCATGCCACTGGCTAATCTCTGAACTGGCTCTAAGCCTTGGCTTGAGTACAACTCAAATTCACCGCATAATCAAGGGACAATAGCACTTTGCCAGTAACAGTCACCACCTTTCCAAGAGGGGGTATAATCTACTTAAAGGACGAATTCACGATGGAAAAGCAACCCATTTCAAATTAACCTAGGGATGGTGAGTGGTACACGAAAGAAGGAAAAACCATGAGAAACGGCCCAGAACCCGAGAAATGGGACCCCTTCCTTGCCCGTTGATTTGCGCATTGATGCGACTCTCATCGCTGTGCCCTCTTCAACACTACGCTCTCTCTGCTATCTAATCACTCGCCACGTATAGACCTGCGGCGAGTGATAGATCGGTGGGCGTACCCCCCCGCGCAAGATGCATGATAGGTCGCCGAGGTCAAATCTTTCGCTGCCAAGAATTGCGCGTCCATACAACACCTTCAGGAGTATCCGACTGTCTCCCACATACAATTTTCCCCTTCCTTACCTTTATCCTTCTACGTGAATTCCTCCTTCGAACTTTCGCCAATATCCCACGTCAGGCAACGATCAGGAGGTGTTGCAGATATTCAGGAGGCAGCCCACACATATCTTACACCGGTCGCCTAGTTCACCACTCATTGACAAGCCTTAGGGGAGCGGAAGGGATGGGAAGGGGTGTGTGAGTCATTTCATCTTCCCTGAAACTTCTACTCTCCTTGGCTCAGTCCGCATAACGGTGCGGACCAACAAATAATAATAATAAATATTCGCAGCGAAGGACGCCCGGTAAGCTCCATGCTTTCCTCCTGCAGTTGGTGACGCCTACTGACATATCTAATCACTGCCGCAGTTTTACGAGAATGAATATATACAGATAGCGTAATGTCGAATAGAGGACCGCAGCGTATAAAACCATGAATGTGGGATTCAACAAGGATGGGGTCCCATTTTTCGGGTTACGGGCCGCTTCTCATGGTCTCTCTTTCATCCCTGCTCCACTGACCACCTCTACCGTTATTTCCAGTAAGCTACCTTCCCACCGTAAAACCCGCTTTTGAACTGAGACTAAGGATGGTAAGACCCTTAACTCCCTAGCATTTGATGAGAGGACTACAAAAACAAGTTAAGGATCTTGTACGGCCTTTCCAGATCGCAGGTGTAGACGTTTCAGAGGGTGGCCTGTACAGAACTGTGTCCAAAATAAACGACCCACGGCTGTGACATGAGTGCTCTCAGTTTAATTGAATAAGAATTGAATAGAAGTCAACGAACGAAACTGTAAGCAATGTCTACTTGGGTACGCCTCTTGATGATATTGCATCTTTCTGGTTGGCCCCTCACCAATGCAAATCGTCTAGTTCATCCGCTGTATAAACGTTTCATAATATAAAACAAACATCAACTACACAAGCATCTGCCTTATCAGAACATCTGTCGTCTTCTTTGTGATGTTAGCAATATTTTGGAAAAGACGTCCATTTTCGCAAGAGCTAAAACCCAGCTCGTATGATTTTTCAATTTATGTACTTCACAATAAAATTATTCAATTGGAAAACCCGAAAACTAATAAATTAATTAATGGCCTTTCCCACATTCTTTACAAGTTGATTAGGCAGTGAGACAGTGCCTGCATCTCTCAAGCTCCTTAAAAGTTCATAAAACTCCTGAACTCTCGACATGAGACTTCTCATATTAATTCGCGGCATTTCTTTACGATATCCGCTGAACAGGGCGTTCTGCACTCTGTCACATTTCCTACTCAAACTTCATAACCTGCTGATCGGCGAACGGGGAGTAGCAAACCATCCCTTTGGCGTCGCTAGACCGTATGCCTGAATGTTGCGGAGGGGATGGGGTCCCCAACGGTCGACGGTTACTTCAACTCGGTTGGTACGATAGGAGAGTACTGACGCAAGTAGTGCAGCTGGTCCAGCAGCTCCGCCAGAAGGGCTGGTTTGCTCACACCCGCCACAAAGCCGGGAGTGGACGAATCTACGTCTCTCTTTAAGCTTAATTTGAGGTAAGCACTCCAGATTGGCGCACAAGACCAATTATGCCCCGTCCACGCGGGGACCGACCATCCCCTCCCCACGTTTAGACATAACGGTCCCAGCCGAACGCCAAAGGGCATGGTTTGCTTACGGCCGGAACCTCCCGATTAGCTTCGTATAATGATGAGAGCATCGATTACGATGCTATCATAGGGTTGACCCATAATTTCTGGCCGATTTTGGTTCAAATTCAATTTTCAATGTGTCAAATTGACTTCATGTCAAAATAAGACGGTATGTTGAAGAAGACATCAGGACCTTCAGCCAGGACCAAGTCCCGTTCATTCTGGAGTGCACCTCTTATCAAGCAGCCGCACCTTCTTATCTCATCGTATCATATCTTCCATGGGCTTACACTCGTCCAACAATTACTGCCTCACACCTTATCGATTGATAACGCGAGGGTAGCAAATCCAGCGTGGAAGCCAGCGTGATCGCTTCCTTTAAATAGAGGTATCTCAGTAAGTATAGTCTCTCAAATTTTGTCGAGGAGCGTCGAGGACGCTGAAATTTTCATGCGAGTTTTTGCCACTTAAAAGGCAATATCTCTCTAATTTCGCAAGATCTTGAAAAGAAGACAGTTTTGGAAAGCGGAAGGTTTGCGCTTTCTAACAGTATGTTTAGCTTTCTTCTACATTCCTAGTTGAGAGATATTGCGTCGAGGATCTATCGAGGACGGATCCGGCCACCTGAAAATCCGCTCCCTTCTTCACCATTGCAAGTGTAATTCGTTGGCAACGCTCGAAATGTGTCTAGAATAAATTCTCCCAACATAAGCGACAAGAAAAGGGGCAATCGTCATCGTCCGATCTCGTCTCAGTATAGGCCATGCATCCGACCTCCACTCAAGTTGTAGAATCTATTGAAAGGTGTTCTACATATGATGGTGACCTGTTGTCAGAAGCTGTACATGTGACCCCGTTCCTTGTGGAGATGCACTTTCATTCTTTGTACTGCTTTCAAATACGCCCTTCTCATGAAGGTAGAGGAATGGAGCGACTGAACCTGCAAAGAATATTTAATATCATGTTTTTTTTTCAGATATTTCATTTTCTGCTGCGCTACACCCTACTCCTATCTGCACCACGATACCACTGATGTTACTGACCCCCAAGAGTACGACCCCCATGACCCAGCCCTGACAGGTACGACCCCCCTGTCGAGGATTTCCTCGACCGATATTCACCCTGCTTGGAACAGACCCGCTTTATTGCACACTGCCGCTGCCCTCGGACGAAATTATTCCCGTGTCTTCACCAGTGATGTGCCAAAAATCATGTCCTAACACAATATCATTGTTTGTGATAACATGTAGTTGTTATCAGCTCGTGGTTTTGGCCTAAGCACTCCATTCCGATCGCGACAACGCTAGGAGAAGGTGAGTTTCATTCATCGGTTTTCTGTTGCAGCAAACCACATCGGTAGAAACCTCAAACGTTGAACAAATAGGGTATTTTCCCAGTGCTGCACTTCCAGCAAAGCAGTGTGGAGTACCACCATCAAAAAATGGTCAAGAGATGTTTCATGGCTTCAGAGCATTTTTCGGCGCTCATGTCCTTGGGGGGGGGGGGGGGACATCACAACAGAGCCGATGGTAGGTGACACTTGGACTAAGCCCAGGAGAGGGGAGAAACGCCAGGGAGAACACATACATTGCTCACATCCTACCCCAGAATCCCTTCCTCTGCCTAAGGTTTAGTCCCAAGCACAGCAATTTCTCTCCCCCCCCCCCATCCCAACGACATGAGCGCCCGTTTTTCGTTAGAAAGCGAGAGCGCTGGTCGTCGGGTACGGTATCTTTGGGCGGAGTCAGCCCAGAAGGAGGGGTGGAAGTTTGGCTAAGATGGAAGCTGCCCACACACCCCATCCTCTTGTCCCTCCCCCCTTTGAGCTTACCTTAGTTCTAGAGAACGAATGTTGGATAGGTGAGTTCTCCGCACAATGATGCCTCCTAAGTAGACCAACGCCGTACAGGGCGTCTGTAATACCCTAACGCCGCCTTCATAGTTCGCGATTCCGGAGATTAGGATAGTACGCGACAATGAAAAGATATGTATTGACGGGGAGATTAGGATAGTAGTAGATTAGGATAGTAGTAGAGTAGGATTGCGCTGACAAGATTAGATACGTATCGATTGAAATCGCTGGAGAGTAGTAGATTGCGATATTACGATAGTAGGATAGTAGGCGAGTGGGCGATAAGAGGAGGATATGTATCGATTTGTTGCTCCGGCCACTGAGCAATCGCCTGATTGCCTTCTCGCCTGATATCCTTCGACTTTCTATGAACGGAGCGAACCAATCAATACGTAGGCTTTCCTGCGTGGTCGCCTAATCTATGCGTATATCCTTCACTATAGACTAATCGCACGACGGCCAGCTCTGAACGCTCCATCAACTGCAGCTGATCTTTAGGTTTCGATATCGGAAATGAAACTGGTGTTGCTGTTCTGTTTCCTTATCACCATGTCCGTATTCCAAATTACGCTCCAGTCCCCAGCTCAAGATACCGGCCAGGTATATGTAAATTTGCAGTCCTTGAAATGAGAAACTGATGATTACACTACTTGATTGCTCATTAAGGACGATTTGTTTAGATGGTGAATATTGGAAATGAATGCATCCAAAAGTGTAAGGGCTCGAAAAGTCCAACCGACTATTTCAAATGCACGAGAGAGTGTGAACTGGCTAAGCTGTAACAAAGCTATAATTTTCGGCGATGCTATGTGGCAATAAATCGTTTTTTTTTTCGAATGAGGAATACACTCGAATGGATTCAAAACACAATTCTTATGCTCAGGACGCATGCCGCAGTTACAAAATATGGCGCTCATGTGGTTAGGGGGACATTCAAAACTGGGCCGGTGGTAGGTGACACTAAAACTAAGCCCGCGAGATGGGAGAAACGCCAGGGAGAATATAAACCGTTCGCATCCACTTCCAGAATCTCCTCCTGCCGGGGGTTGAT